CCCCCCCCGTTCAACCCCCAGTAAAAAGAGAAAGGAAGGAGTTACTTTGGAGCTGTGCATCCCAGCTAGTTGGGAACCCAGCATAGGAAAGAGTACACTTTGGGCAAGTTTTGAGGCTTATCTGCCAGAAAAAGGGATCATACAAACCTCTTCACCTTCATAGCTGAAATTCATGGGAAGGTTCAGAAGCAGGTGTGACACTAGCCCTGTGCAACTGAGGTAACAAGGACCTCCACCCACCGAGATCTTCCCAGAGCCTGGGAAGCCATTGGTTCCAGCTGGTTGTAGCTCAGCACATGGGGGCGCAGTGGGGGACACAATTCCATAGGGGAGGCATGGTCTCTTCTCACTTCAGGGGTCTTTCGCTCTACCTCTGTATTTCCCTCATATCCAAATGAGAGGAGGTACGTAATCATACCTAGTGTGGGGCCTGCCCCAGAAGGGGCAGTAAATGTTAGTGATAATCTGAATTTAACTTCAAGAAATGTCCTTAAGAACAATCATTTTTACTTATGGATACTAAACAGGAGTTAAGGTAGGGCATCCTAATTTTTTAATTATTATTATTAATCTGCAAGAACACACAGATGCCAGAGGAAAGAACTGCCCTGACTTTTGGGAGACCCTGAACGTGCATAAGAGAGATGGGAGGCCTGAGATGGCTAGCTTGCTGTCTCTACCCACCAATCGTGGGGTCCCATCAGGTCTACACCTACCAAGTGACTGACTACCAAGTCAATAAACGGTAATTGAATAGATGATTAATTGAATTAATCAACCCAATCTAATTTAATTAATTCAATGAATGAATATTCCCCACTATGCTTTCTCTGCCTCAGTTTCCTTTCTACCATCTCTTCAGACAAAAAGGAAGATCCTGATGGAGACAACCAGTCCGCAGGGAAATGATTAATATGTCTCTGATGTCTCCCCACCTTAAAATCCCACAAGGTCCCAGGTTTTCAATTAATTATTTTAATGAAATCAATTAATTATTTCCAAGTTACCGTAAGCATTATATTTGTTGCTCAACTTAGGTTGTCAGAGGTATTCCACATCTGGGGGCAATGGGACAAAATGGGCTTAAGCTTCTCTCTCCTTCAGGTCTGTACTCTGTAGAGTAGTTCAGGAGCTAACTACCTGGGTTGGAATCCAAGCTCTACCATTTTTTTAGCTGTGTAATTTGGCAAGTTGTTCAAACTCTCTGGGCCTGAATGCCTCATCTATGAAATAGGCACATCAGTGGTACCCACTTGGTTGGTTTGCTGTGAGAACTCCATGAGTTATAACAGGCCCTGTGCTTACAAGGTGTCTAGCATACAGTAAGTGCTCAATAAGTATCATCATTATCATGGGTGGAACACTCACTGTTAACTACCACTGAAGTGTGGGCTGGCAACAAGGTTGAGATGCCCCCCAGCAATATTTGCAACTTATAAAAGGAATCTCTGGGAAACTTGAAGGCCCAAGAGAACAAGTAATCAAGGGTGAATGCCCAGGGCTAGGACTGTATCAGGGCAGGGCAGGCAAATCGAGGAGAACTTCAAAAGCCCACCTACTGCATTCCCCTCACCCAGGCCTGCCTGTCTCCCCAGGAACTGATAGGAGATAAATGAAACCACTCTTCAAAGCACACTGCTCAAGGACCCAAATCAAAAGGACAGGCTTGAAGATAAGCTTCAGTCTACTTTCCTTTTGTCCTTCCTTCCCACCACATCTTTAAAGGAAATTCTAGGGGGATGAAAAAGAGTGAATTCCCCCTCCTTCTACTTCCCCATCCACGTGGCATTGGGCAGTGACAGAAGTTAATAGAGCCACAACCAGGAAGGGAGTTCAGAAGCCCTGGTCCTTTCTTCACTTAGCTGGCTGTTTGTCCTGTGACAGTCCCCTAAGCTCTTAGTGCCTGTTTCTTCATCTGTCAAGCAGGAATAATAAAACCTGCCCAAAGTAACTCCAAACACTGTGAGATGAGGGACACAAAGTACATTTGGGAAAAGATACTTTTGTGTAGTTATACAGGCAACATTTTTAAAAGCAGTCACCCACCTTGCATTTTTTGGAATGAGACAAAATGAGATATAAGTAAATAGCCCTTTTGGGTAAATGTAATATTCATTCATTAACAAACATTCCTTGGACACTTATTGCACTGAAGCTGCCTGAATTCACACCCCAGCCCCATCTCGAAGCAAAACAGCTTGAACCTAGAGCAAGTTGCAAAACCCCTCTGTGCTTCTATTTCCACCTCCCTAAAATGGGGTGATGGTTAGACCTACCTCTTGGGGTTTCTGTAGGGATGGAATGAGAGAATGCCTACAAAGTGTTTAGAAGGGTGCTGTGGCTCCGTGCTGGCTTCTGCAGTGATGGTTAAACACTCGGGCAATAAGAACTCAGAGAGGATGAGGAAACAAGGAAGCATCCAGCAGGAGATCAGACAAGTAAACAAATACAGGCAGTTGCCCTGGGATAAGTGTAATAGCAGAACATGACAGGAGCCCTGAGAACGCAGAAGAGGGAGCCCCTTGAGTCATTTGCGGAGCAGGCTTCCTGCAAGGCTGGCTGGCCTGGCTTTCTTCTGTTTGCTCCCACAGGTCCTTGGTGAACCTCTCATGCCCCAGGCTGTATCTGAAGCCCAGGAACCAGGCAGCCTGAGGAAGTACCTCTGGGTGCTCTGAGTGGGGAATGCTAAATCAGGGCTCCTGGCCAAGGCGGTAATTGCTGGTCTGCTGAAAGATATTAAGCCTAGGGAGGAAAACCAAGTTCTCTGTGAGACAGACCTTTCAGAGTTCTTATAGTGTTTTTTTTAAAAAAAAAAAAAAGTAAATAGTTACCCAGTGAGATATTATTTTGTGTTGTTGCCATTAGGGTCTGAGTGTTATGCAGAGAGGTGATCATTCAGGTAATTTCACCTCAGCCAGGAGTGAAAACTAAACATTAACCCCTCACAACAAATCTATCACCTCTCCTCCCAACCTGACTCAGGCCTTTTTCTCCTGGGCGGTGAATTTTAAGTAAATTGAAGTCATGAAAACAAATCTATAAATATTCCACAATTTCCTAAAAGATTTTCCTAATGGCTGCAGGGGTGGGAGGG